GTCTCCTTCTTCCCCCACACTCTCCCTTGTTATCTCACACAGCGCCCTTCACCTCCGAAGAACCACCTTCGCCCTCACCTCCCCTGCGCCCTCAGGCAGCCCGGCTATGGCCGCCAGCGCCCTGTGTACAGGCAGTGCCCTACCGCCTAGCGCCTGCCTGTCTCGTWCCTCAGCCTAGCGCAGCGCAGCAGCTCGCATTAGTGCAGCGTGCCGGCATTGCCCGCAATGGCCAAGATCCCTGCCCACTCGCCCTGCTTGCCTATATGCCAGTGTTGCGTGTGGGCGGCCTCCCTTCAGCCTGCGTCTGGGCCCCAGTGCCTGGACCCAGGCCCAATGCAGTTGAGGCCTGGGGGATGCAGTTGCGCCTCTTTTGTCAAGGCCTGCGGCCAGATTCAGATAGTGGGCCGATTCCCCTGTGGCATTTTTGGCCTCTATACCCAGCATGCATTGTCGGCCTCACATTCAAGTGACCAGGGCCTAGCTAACTCAGGGGCCCTGGGATTTCCACATTTGCTGAGATCCGAGACTCGGTGCACTCCAACCAACTGGCGTGCTGCAACTGTATGGACCCCACTTCGTGAAATGTTTGCACAGAGGGCTCTTGTTGATTTGCTGGCCCACCTTCACTTAGGGCGGGCACGACGCTTGCTGGGGCCTTAGCCCAGAATATGTACATCACGGCAAGGCCCCTTCTTGAGGGCTCAATCCCCACATGAGGGCCATTCCGTGAATTCATGGAGATGGGATTCAAGGTGTTATGAAGTCTCTGCTGATCTGTTCCATCTGTATATGCCCCTGTTAGTCTATCTCACAGTCTGTACCTATCTTTTCCTGTCGGCCTGTCCCTTTGTACTCGGGCGGTAAGACTGCAGGGCTGAATTTCTGTCTGGCCCTCTGTCAGCCACAACTAATCTCTCTGCTGTGTTCCATCGGGTCTGTGCCTTTTGCATGCACCTCGCTTTCCATCTCCTTATCTGTCCTACTCTTTTTCTTCCCCTCACTGTCTTGCCCAACCCCTGTCTCTGTCAGCTTTCTGTCTGTGGGTCTGTCTGTCTGCTTAAAACACCAGTCCCACTCTTTTTCTTCCCCTCACTAACGGTAGCCTGCTCATTCCTGAGGCTCGGTTTTTTTGCCAAGCCTTGGACAACCGGTAATAAATCACGGGAAAATAAATAAAGTGAAAAAACACAAAGAAACATACAACATTCACCGATCTACGTAAGAGGAATTCGCTACCACTGACAAGCAGCAACAACTCAGAAGCATGAACCATCATTTCCTTATCCAACCCATCTCTTCAACGGTGATTATGGTTTTGAGTTTCTTTGAACTAGACTGGGAGAGAACAATGATTCCCTGGATAAGCATTCGGTGTGATATTTGGGTTTTAGGGTTTAGGGTTTAGGGTTTAGGGAGGCATGGGTATCGTTATACTTTCAACTTCTCAAGGGATAATAACCGATCACCGGGCTCGGCAATGGAAAATTGGAGTAGTTTTATGCTATGTATGGTAAAAAAAAAAAAAAAAAAGATCAGATATATCATATAAAACTATTTATAGAATGACTAATATTCATTCTGCGTTTTTTTTTTTTTTTTTTGGGTGTAACAGCCCCGGAGACAGCGTGAGGTGCTGGTAGGAGCAGACACATCAAGCTGGCCTTGGGGAGGCTCCATCTCTTGRTGGGGAGCTGCACCTGATCAACCTTTTCAAGTGGATGATGTCATTCATGAGGATGTTGGGGGATGCAACCGTGCAAGTACAAGATACACACAGCAGACGAGCTTCGTCTGTGGTGTTTCGAGTGCAAAGAATATGGCCAGTTGTCCACAGATCGGGCTTGCCCGCACWRTCCACGAAAAGCCCARCGGGTAACCGGGCTTTCAAGGCAAAGATACCTTCAGAAAAAATTGCTGGCAGACAGTGGACGCTGGTCATGAGAGATGGGTGTACTTGGATCTGGCTAAGGCAGTAGGGGGGGTGAGAGGGTMGGAATGAGAACAGTCGTGGGAACTTGACTGGTCCACAAAATCCCTGGGGTGAGAGAGAGAGAGAGAGAGAGAGAGAGAGAGAGAGAGAGAGAGAGAGAGACGAGACTTTCATGAGTCGCACCTTCTTCCTCCTCCCATCTCCATCACCCATCCACCATAGCCAGCCACNNGAGAGAGAGAGAGAGAGAGAGAGAGAGAGAGAGAGAGAGAGAGAGAGAGAGAGAGAGAGAGACGAGACTTTCATGAGTAGCATCATAAATGGGAAAAGGAAAAACATAAAAGCAGAAGGAAACGAGGCAGGTGCTGGACTCTTTTCACAGACCAAATGACATTACAGCGAGAATCACCCAATTTGCAAACGAGTGGCTGAGGGGATCGAGGGGAGGGTGGGTTGCCAGAGTACAGTGGTCGGGGCACAATGAGGGATGTGGGCAGAGACAGAGAGAGGACCTGCAGGAAGTAGGCCCACGGGACTACCGCCTAGTTCTTAAGGACTGGACAACAATAGACCCCATCATTCCCATGCAAAACCCCGAGTACTTTCCATACCCCACCCATCCTACATAGGCAACGTCCACACCTTCTTCCTCCTCCTATCTCCATCACCCATCCACCATAGCCAACCACCTCACACCTTCCTCCACCTCCATCACCCATCCACCATAGCCAACCACCTTCACACCTTCTTCCCCCTTCACCTCCATCACCCATCCTCCATAGCCAACCACCTCTGCACCTTCTCCCTCCTCCACCTCCATCACCCATCTTCCATAGCCAACCACCTCCGCACCTCCCTCCTCCACCTCCATCACCCATCCTCCATAGCCAACCATCTCCGCACCTTCTTCCTCCTCCATGTCCATCACCCGTCCACCATAGCCAACCACCTCACACCTTCTTCCCCCTCCACCTCCATCGCCCATCCTTCATAGCCAGCCACCTCCGCACCTTCTTCCTCCTCCATCTCCACCCATCCACCATAGCCAACCACCTCCCACCTTCTTCCTTCTCCATCTCCTTCACCCATCCACCATAGCCAACCGCCTTACACCTTCTTCCTCCACCTCCTTCACCCATCCGCCATAGCCAACCACCTCACACCGTCTTCTTCCTCCACCTCCATCACCCATCCATCTACTTCATCCATCCACCATAACCAACCAGCCTCACACCTTTTTCCTCCTCCACCTCCTTCACCCATTCGCCATAGCCAACCACCTCGCACCGTCTTCTTCCTCCACCTCCATCACCCATCCNCAGCCTCACACCTTTTTCCTCCTCCACCTCCTTCACCCATTCGCCATAGCCAACCACCTCGCACCGTCTTCTTCCTCCACCTCCATCACCCATCCTCCATAGCCAACCACTTTTACAATTTCTTTCTCCTCCACCTCCTTCACCCATCCACCATAGCCAACCACCTCGCACCTTCTTCCTCCACCTCCTTCACCCACCTCCTTCACCCATCCGCCATAGCCAACCACCTCACACCTTCTTCCTCCTCCATCTCCATCACCCATCCACCATTGTCAACCACCTTCAGACCTTCTTCTTTTTCCACCTCTATGACCCATCCTCCATATCCAAACACCTCATGCCTTCTTCCTCCTCGACCTCCTTCACTAATCCACCATAGCCGTCCACCTCACACCTTCTCCCTCCTCCATCTCCATCACCCATCCACCATAGCCAACCACCACACACCTTCCTCCTCCACCTCTATAGCCGACAGACACCATGTTCAAAGGAATGTGTTAGGTAAGACAATACGGCGAGTAGGGGATAAACCTTGGCTAGACATAGGGAGTCTTCCTCTCTCTCTCTCTCTCTCTCTCTCTCTCTCTGTATATATATATATATATATATATATATATATATATATATATATATATGTACTCTTCTCTCTCTCTGCCTACGGTTTACCAGGCAGTTCTATTTGTGACGATATATATATAGGTGTGGGTGAGTGATAGTCTGCTTTGACTTTTGCCACAAGTACCTTGATGGCAGTGGTTGGTGCCCACCTCAGGGTATCAGTTGTCGGGCAGTCATTGATGCTTGACCACAGTCGGGGTTAAGGTGGATTATCACTTACAGTGTAATCAGTTAGGGGATTCCGCAGACTGCTAGGGGTTCAACCTCCTGATGAGTCGGTGAAACTTTGACGAAACAGTTTGCCACAGCCCCTCATTTGTTGTCCTCTTCTCCCTCTTTGCCTACGGTTTACCGGGCATCTCTCTCTCTCTCTCTCTCTCTCTCTCTCTCTCTCTCTCTCTCTCTC